TAATACTAGATACCATTCCATTACCAAAGACTGATTATGAAAGAACACTTGAAGTAACCTAGGTTTCTTGAATGCTTTGAGAAAGTTTGCATTGAAGGAATGAGAGTAGGGCTAAATACTCTAAGAACGGAAGAACCAGTTGAAATGACTCCATAATGTAAAACACTGCTTTCCTTCTCTTATTCATTCTTTGTCTTAAACTGTTTCAAAGATCCACATTTTCTATTTATGTTTAGTTTGATAAAAATCTATAATCATGTTATGAAATGCATTAGCCTCACATCCTGATAAATCAGATTCCAGCTTAAAAGATTTCAGACAAATTATTAATTAAAATGTGCTATTGATTGGTATATGCAAAGTACAAGATTATTTACTTCTTCCAGATAGTATTTTTGTTGCCTTTATGGGTATAAAAAGTGGTCAAGTATTTTTAAAAGATGTGATTTAAAATCAGTCCAAGTGAAGTTTGTCTCTAAAGTATATAGTACTACTTCCCTTTATGAGTATAGCATAAAACGAAAGCTATTCGTTGTCTTCTTTGACAGGTACATTGATAGAGATCTGAAGCTGTCTCCCTAGTGTCATCAGTTTTGAGGCCAGTCAGAGAGATTGGCCTAGAAGTAGAGTGCCCATACACATGCACTTTAGTTAGCTTTGTGGGATTCAGTCATCTTTTGGCCTCCAGTCAACAAATGTATGTTGGTGCCAAGTACTGTTTTGCATTAGGCTGCAAAGATAAATACAACAAAATTCCTCTCCTGAAGGAGAAAGTAATAATAACTATTATGTAATAGAAGATGCTGAGTAATCTGGTAAATCTGTGTTAGGGCACTCTGAACAAAGAGGACTAGCACTAAGGCAGCACCTTAAATGTAAAACTTCTACCTTTTCTGTTAATGATAAAACTAAAAAACTACATCTCATTTGATTGTATGTTTGCATAATTATTAAACTGAGTTATTAGTTTCCAAATATATGTAGATTTAGGCACACAATATAAGAAATATTTAAATCTGTAATATACTCTGAAAGGGCATTCATCTGAGTGTCTTCTGGAACGGTGGGTGGAGCTGATAAAAAAAATAGTGTAATTATAGTATGCTGAAGATATACCTGAAAGATTTAGCTTTCCTGTCATTGATCTGACCTTTACTCCACTTCTGTATTGTGCCATATTTTTAAGTTTTGTATTGCTCATCTTTTTCAAAGCTTTTAAAGTTAAAAGGAACTTTGGACATTCTCTCGTCTAAATTTTTCATAACCAGCAAGGGATGCTAGAATTACATAAACAGCTTTTGACCTTTGCAAATTCATTAGAGCTGGAATGGAGCCCCAGTATTTGTGTGTGTGTGTGTGTGTGTGTGTGTATTTAACTTTAGAGGTGATCCTGATAGGCAGACTTCCTTTTAGTAGAGAAATTCTGGCCTGTGGAGATGTCACTTGCCTAACAGTTTTCATAAGTAGGATCAACCAAATTCCACACTAATCTATACTGTGTCACGAAACTGCAAAAGAAATCTGTTCCAGTTAAAAAAAAAAAAAGTAGAAATTGGGCAGTGCCTGTGGCTCAAAGGAGTAGGGCGCCAGCCCCATATGCCGGAGGTGGCGGGTTCAAACCCAGCCCCGCCCCCCCCCCCAAAAAAAAAGTAGAAATTAAGGATGTTAGTTATTTTTTTTTATGGTGGTGATGTGTATTGGTTTCCTATTTGGGGGTATTTCCTTTGCTTGGCTTGAGGGCACCACTGGAGGATTTTTAAGCCCATCTGTTAATTTTTTAATACTATGAATAGATTATGGATGCAGCAAAATATAATTGAAAACATCCTCGTACCTCCTTTGCCAACTCAGTACTTCTGCTTGTTCCTAAAGGCAGGAGAAAAACCCCAGAAATAACAGAATAGGAAGATAATTTCAGAGAGATATAAATACCAATTTAACTGTGTGTGTACTAAGTAAAAATGTAGAATATTACTTAAGATGCCCTGAAGTTACGTGAAAGGACCTTTAAAAGTGATAATAGGAGACCTCCATCTCTGCAAATTAAAAAATTAAAAGTAGCTTGGCATGGTGGCATGCAACCGTAGTCCCAACTATTGGAGAGTCTGAAGCAGGAGGATGGCTTGGGCCCAGGAGTTCAAGGCTTCAGTGAGCTGTGATTGTTCCACTGAATTCCAGTCTAGGTGACAGTAAGACTTTGTCTCATATTTTTATTTACTTATTTTTGAGACAGAGTCTCACTATGTCACCCTTGGTAGAATGCTGTGGCATCACAGCTCACAGCAACGTCAAACTCTTGGGCTTATGTGATTCTCTTGCCTCGGCCTCCCAAGTAGCTGGGATTACAGGCACCCACCACAACATCTTGTTTTTTCTTGTCATTGTTGTAGTTGTCATTGTTGTTTGGCAAGCCCTGGCAAGGTTCGAACCCACCATCCCCATTGCATGCAGCTGGTGCTCTAGCGGCTGAGCTATAGGCACTGAGCCTGTCTCATGTTTTTTAAAGGGAAGGGGTTGTGATCTGGAGAAAACTGCTGATAAAGTCTGTGATTGATTGCCCCACAACATACAATAATAGCAGAATTTTCACAAAGAAAGAATTTATTGTTGGTTTCTTTATACTTGTCTAAGAATCTAGGACAATAGGCTGAAAATAATAGGCAGTCAGTATCCCAGACTCAAGGAGCCCTCCTTAAAAGTAATCTTAAGCCTTCTGAGCTGCTCGTGGTTAATCACACACCCTTTTACTCCAGAACAGGGACAGACGCCACACTTGCTAGTGTTTTGATCATGTAAGTGGTGTTGTGAAAAGACTGCAAAGGGAATCCCTTTTCAGTAAGCTTGCCAGTAATGTATATGCAGTCTTGAAAATCTTCAAGAAGTGGTTATGGGTGAGAAATTAAAGATGCTTTAGAAAGAGGTTCATATTTAATCTCTGTACCAATATTGTACAAAAACATACATGAACGTCTTGAGTAGTCCAGTCAGAATGTTGTTACCAAAAGGTCTTTTTGTAATATTTTTTTCTTCCATTAAAGTCACATATTAATAAAATTCCACAGAATGAAACACCAGTTTATGCTTACTTTCTTGTTGGTGGTCATTTGGATTACTTCCAGGTTCATGCTAGAATAAAGCAAAGCACAGTGCTACTATGATAATTGTTGAATGTTTCTTCTCACTTATATATTACCAGTTTCTCTAAGGGTATATATGTCAAGGGAATTACTGGGTCATGAATTGTTTGTGTCATTACTCCTTCATAATGCTAAATTACTTTCCATGTGGTTGTATTGATTTATTCTGCACCAGAAATGTAAGGCAGTGTTCCAATTATTCCTTGCCAACATTTGGTATTGTCACACTTAAATATTTTTGCCAATATGGTGAGTGTAAAATCCATCTTGCTTTATATTACATATTCCTGATTATGAATGAAAGGTTGAGCATCTTTTCTTGCATTCCTTAGCCATTCAGGTTTCTTCTGTGAAATCTCTTACGTCTTCTGTGCATTTTTCTATTGGATAGCTTATCTTATTTATAGAAGTTCTTTAAAATATTCTTGTTACTGGTACTTTGGATATAGTTTTGCTTTTTGTAACATTAGAAATCTTGACATCTTGAAAGATGCCTTCCTGTGTTTTCTTCTAATAGTATAAAGATTTAAATATATACAAAAATTCAATCATGAATTGGTTTTATTTTAAATGTAAGTGATTGTATGTCTGGCAGGGAAGGTCCTGCTAGCTTTGTTTTTCTTCAGGATTTATATTAGTTTATCAGGACCAAGTATCTTAACACTTAAAATCCTAGCACCCTTTGGAGGTCAAGGTGGGAGGATCACTTGAGGCCAGGAGTTTGAGACTAGTCCAGACAAGAAAAAAGACCCCCATCCCTACATTAAAATGAACAAAATAACATTTTAAAAAATGCTATTAGGACTTTGATTACAATTGCATCAGATCTGTATAAATTTGAAACAGCCACTTTAAAATAAATTCCGTGCATGTTTTATACATTTTCTATCTCTAAATACTATGAGGTGGGATGGTGGGGTTTTTTTTTGTTTTTTTAACTATTTAAAGGGTCTTTTTTAGTGCAGATGTTTAAATGAAATATAGATAGCTCATTGCCATGTTTATTTAATTACAAAAGGAAAGTAGTTCTGAAACTCAGTATTAAATATAAAAATTCAGAATAAGAGTCTTCTATTATTCATTCATCACATCCTCACCCTTTTTGGGGGGGGGGCACCTTGGTGCCTATCCTGATTCGTATCAAGGCTATTATGTTTAGGTTGGTTTTTATGTACTTACAGTGTTCTTTACCTTTTTGAGACAGAAAGTCCTGTAGAATTACATTATCCTCGGCTCTGCGCCTATAGCTCAACCGGCTAAGGCGCCAGCCACATACACCTAAGGTGGCGGGTTCGAATCCCCAGCCCGGACCCGCCAAACAACAATGATGGCTGCAACCAAAAAATAGCCGGGCGTTGTGGCGGGCGCCTGTGGTCCCAGCTCCTTGTGAGGCGGAGGCAAGAGACTCGCTTGAGCCCGGGAGTTGGAGGTTGCTGTGAGCTGTAATGCCACGGCACTCTACCCAGGGGGACAGCTTGAGGCTCTGTCTCAAAAAAAAAAAAAAAGACATTATCCTCCTATACTAATGGGAACTTATTTGAATGTATGGTTAAAATAATAACTGTGTTTCAGACAGCATTACTAGTAGGCATCACATCAGACATGTGTATGGTTTATTATGTTTTGTGACTTCAAGGAAGTTATGTAATCTTCCAGTTTTGTCACCTATGAAATAGGGATACAAAAATGCCTGCTTCATTATACCAGTCAGTCAAATACTCAGCACTTTCTGTGTGATCCCTTGTAAGAGTTGATGAGATTAAATGTTCTCTACCTGACACATGTAAGATATTTCTTTGATGTTTTGTTCCAGTTCCTCTGTTCAAGTAATTTTTTCAGCCTTATTATCTTCTTTTTATTTAGAATCTACATCAGGAGACAAATCTGTATCACATTCTTGCACAACTCCTTCCACATCTTCTGCCTCTGGACTGAATCCCACATCTGCACCACCCACATCTGCTTCAGCAGTCCCTGTTTCTCCTGTTCCACAATCACCAATACCTCCATTACTTCAGGACCCAAATCTTCTTAGACAATTGCTTCCTGCTTTGCAAGCCACGCTACAGCTTAATAATTCTAATGTGGACATATCTAAAATAAATGAAGGTAAATTTTTCATAGTAACAATTTCTTAAAATGCATTTGCATTGGACTAAAATACTCAGCTTATGAGTAGTCTTTGTTTCCTTTTGAAATTTGGAATTTATATTCCCCAGGGCTTAAGATCATTGGTAGTATAATGAGTTATTTCTGTATGTTTTTCAGGACTTGCTGTGTATTTGGTAGTTACTTGAGGGAAGCCATTGTGTGTGCTTAATGTGTATGGTGAAATTTCAAGTAAAAAGAGTATTTTTGTTAACATTACTATAAAAGCTTTCTATTTCTAGTCTATTTCCAGATACTTGTATGGGCATAATAAAAAAGTATTTAGAATATTAAAAATACCCTAATTCCTAGAAGAGTAGGAATTTAGTTACTTAAAATGCTTGAAAAAAATTTGAGAAAGTAGGTAGGTACTGAATAAAGTTTTACAGTTTTTTCTGATTAATTGTATCATTTGATTTCAGCCTTGCCTTCCAATTTTGTATTAAAGTGTTTAGACCGTTAACATTGAAAAGGTCTGAATAAAAGTGGATATGGTTTTAATTTGAAAACCGTTTGGATTCATACATTAAATCCTAAGCACATCGTACACTGTCCTGTTTAATCTCTTTTTTAATGTACATTTTCACATAATATATTTGTAGTGATAAGTGGTAAGAAGTTCTTTTTTAATACTAAGAATAAAACTATCTCGGGCTAGTTTTGTTTTGTTTTTTTGTTTTTTTTTTTGTCCTCAACATTTTTATATTTTGATCTTATTCTTTAACTTAACTATGGTTTTCTCATTTGATAAGTAAATGTTTCATTTAGACAAAGTGAGGCCTTGAAACAGTTTAAGGCAACACTAGTATAAGATAATTACAATAATAAAAGAGCTTATGCATCAAAAATACACAGTATTTCTATATGTTTGCTTTTTGGGTGGGGAGGGGGGAGACAGAGTCTCACTTTGTCACCCTTGGTAGAGGGCTATGGCATCACAGCTCATAGCACCCTTAAACTCCTGGGCTCGATTATCTTAGCTCAGGCCTCAAACCTGTGAGTTCAGGCAGTCCACCTGCCTCATCCTCCCAGAGTGCTAGGGTAACAGGCATGACCCATTGCACCCAGCCCTGCCTGCTTTTTAATATCCATTTTTAAAAGATTATTGGAGTGGGTGTTGATTGTGGTGTTTGAGTGCTCAGCTTGTCTAAAAAAGCAATCATGTGAAATAGAAACCATTTATCCAGTTAATTCTAAATAATGTACCAAGTACTTTACTTGCATATGGCTAGGTTTCTGGCTTAATCAGAAGTTCCTATGAATATTCTTTAGTGTTTTTTAACACATCAACTGCCATGGTAGAAAAAAAAGTTTTCCTTGTGGTCATGGTGCTTTATTAGATTAGGATAGGTCAAGAGACATGTAAATTATACACGCACATGCTTCACAAGGCCCCGGGCTCACCACTAGTGTATAAGTTAAATAAAACTTAACATGGCAGTTAATGTGTTAAAAAGTTTATTTTTCTCTGCCTCAGATCATTTCAATCTTTAAATTCATTGTATTGTTTCCTGGGCTCTTAAGGCTAGTTTGAAACATGTCAGTTTTTTCTGGGGTCTCTTTGGGCTTTTGAATTGGTACTAATGCCCCATATGCCTCTGTTTTTGTTTAAATTTAGGAAATAATATGTTTTTAGTTCTTACAGCAGCTGTGACACAAGCCTCACTGCAGTCTATAATTCATAAGTTTCTTACTGCTGGACCATCTGCGTTCAACATAACATCTCTGATTTCTCAGACTGCTCAGCTCTCTACACAAGGTATTCATACTCTTTGCTATCTCTAGAATAATAGTTTGATCTGTTTGATAATTAGTAGTGGTTTTTAAAAAGTTTTTAAAGAGATTATCTAATAATTTTTATGTTTGGTTTTGCAACACTAGTATATACTTGCTGTATTTTTATTTCCTTACCAGATGAAGCACGTTTAGACTTTTAATGTCTTGCTATCAAGTCTATAATAATGTAAATAATCAGAGTTTAAGTTGTTTATAAAATCTTTTAGTCCAAAGCTGAAAGTAAACTATGATGTACCTTCTGTCTTTGTGAAACGTTGCATGTATTTGAAGAGTTGAAGTTTGGGTCAGGTTGATGTTAGATAGTTTTTGACCAGAAAATGTAGAAATTGTCAGTTACTGCTTTGAATTAGATATATTCCTCTTTATGAAGTATCCAAATAGAGGAGAAATACACTCAGGGAAGTGAACTTTTTTGGTAGGGTGAGAAACAGAACAGGAATACCTGGTCTGGAATGGAAGTATAATAATACAAAGTCTTGTATAATTCTCTGGTTAACCTCACAAGCAGGAGACTTTCAGGGGCACCTCTTTTTACATGTAGAATAAGAAGAAATAAGGATATTGAGGAGGCCTTCATGGAATAGGTTCAGGTTTAGTTTCCTTTCCCAGTCTGAATAAGGAGAGAGTGTGCTTAATCTCCTAACACATAGCTGAGTCATTAAGGATGTCTTACTCTGACTTACTTGTGTATATGTCCTCAGAGGGTGTAGGGTGTATAGACTGATGCAGAGATCTTTACTACATATATTATGAAGGTTTATAATTAATTTAATTTTTGTTTTTGAAAGTAATTGCTTCGTTCTTTACAGCCCAGCCATCTAATCAGTCTCCAATGTCTTTAACATCTGATGCATCATCCCCAAGATCCTATGTGTCTCCAAGAATAAGCACACCTCAGACTAACACAGTCCCTATCAAGCCTTTGATTAGTACTCCTCCTGTTTCATCACAGCCAAAGGTATGTCTCCTTTGAGGGAAATTTGGAAGCTGAACTACTTTGGGGAAATTAATGTTTTAGAATCTGTATTGTAGAGAAAGCCCTCTGAGAATGCAGTAATTGTGAAATGAATGACAGTTGAGTGGTAGTTGATGTAGGTTAGAATTTCTCAGTTCACTGAAGAGTAAAGGGGGGACCTGAATCCTGGCTACTTCTATACACCATCCAGGCCCATTCTCTATTGGCTTTGGGATTTGTGATATAAAGGATGAGATAAAGATATACAGAGTTAGTCTTAATGTTTATAAAATTTTCAGGCTCTGAAAGACATGAGAATCTCTTCCAGTAATTTTTTTCATACTTTTATTTAAAATGAGTCTAAGCTAAGAGCTGTATGTATTATATTTGACTTTCACATGAGAATCATTTATCTCATTTAATAGCTAAGGGAATTAAACTTAGATTTTAATCTAGTTTTTGTAGAGTAGAACCAGAATTTGGAATCTAGGTATTTGTGAGTACAGAACTCAATTTACCAAGCTGTACTGCATGTTTCTTCAAGCAAAATCTTAGATTGGTGGTTCCTTAGAACACAGAGAATGGCTGGTCTGTTCTTACTGACCCATGAAACAGGACCTTAGAATGCTATAGTCAAAATTTGTATCACATCATTTTGAGTCTTGGGCCAGAATTCATGAGTAAATGCCAATTGTATTCATTCTTGGCTTTTGTACATCACTAGGAAAACATTAAAGCTTTAGAATGTTCTAAGTCGTGACTTACTTTTTTTTTTCCTTTAATTCTTAATAGTGTTACGGATAAATTCTTTTTAGTAGTTGGGAAACAATAGCTGTTTCGAACATTTTAATGCTAAGAAATTCTTTATTCAAACAGTATATTAACCAGAAGGCAAAAAATAAAAATACATTAAGACACATAACTTGAAGGTAGTAGAAAACTTGAGGTGTTCTTATTCATCCCATCCATACCTTGACCATTGATCTGTGAGAGTTTTAGGATCAGTCTAGATCAGAGGTCTTCAAACATTTTAAACGGGGCCAGTTCACCGTCCCTCAGACCATTGGAAGGCTGGACTGCGGGCCCCGGGACGAGTCGGCTGCTAAGCAGGACAGGCAGTGGTGGCAAAAACACCTGGCAGGCCAGATAAATGTCCTAGGCAGGCTGCGTGTGGCCTGTGGGATGTAGTTTGAGGACACCTGGTGTAGATTTATATTTTTAATTTCAAGTTATTTTTATTGTCATTGCCTATACTTTGGTGGAGGAAGAATTTAAACATGAATTTTCAGTACCAAAGAGATTTTATTTTGAGAGCTTAGAGCTTAAATTCAGGGTGGTATTTTTAAGAGTACTGTAGATAGTGGCTAAAAGTGAAATAAATGGTAGTATAGTAATTTTACAGTCTTTTGGATTCAAAAAACCTTTGTTTCAAGTTGTTTTAAAAATTAATTGGACACGGGCTTACGTAGAACTTACTAAAAGTTCTTTTTAAAAGACTTTGGACTAGAATTGAGAGGTAATATCGAGAAGTAGAAAGACTTTCCAGATATGTTTGGGGAAATTAGTAATCATCTAAAACAAACAAAAATCTAGCAGCCCAGAGGATATTGACTTAATCACAAAAGGCTTGCATCTCTCTTTGTGCCTTAATTTGAAGCTTACATTTAAACTGTTTGTTTTCTCTATGGCACCTGAATATAAATAGTGTATGTATCCCTCTGACCTCTTGGTCTATCTTTGTATGAGAGCATGTTTGAAAAAACTCTCAAGTTGAATTTGTGTAGTTCATAGCTTATTCTCTGTGAGACCAATGTATATATTTCTCTCTATGTGGTTGAAATCTGAGCATCTGTAAGATATGGTAACATAGATATTCTACTTTTACTGCTAGAAAAGTAACAAACAGGAAGGGAGAATTTATTTCTTATGCTGTGTTAGGAATGTAATTTTATGGTGTTGGGTCATTTAACAAAGAAATTAGATCTAAAATTTCAAAACGTAACTGTCTTCTAGTCTTTGGGACATTCTTTGATCTCACTTTTAAAAACTCTAGATTTTACATTATTTCAAATTTTTGACTGGGTCTTACAGGGAGAGGTGTATATATGATTTGAGGGCCTAGACAATAATTTACCCAATTAAATATGTTTATGTCCCAAGTATTATTTTTTTTTTTTTTGAGACAGAGTCTCTGTCACCCTTGGTAGAGTGCCTTGGTGTTACAGCTCACAGCAACCTCAAACTCCTGGGCTCAAGCGATCCTATTGCCTCAGCCTTCTGAGTAGCTGGGACTACAGGTGCTTGCCACAATGCCCGGCTGTTTTTCAGAGACAGGGTCTTAACTCTTCATCAGGCTGGTCTTGAACTCTTCAGCTAAGCAATCCACCCATCTTGGCCTCCTAGAGTGCTGGGATTATAGGTGGGAGGCCACCTTGCCTGGCCTATACTATTAATCTTAGAAAACAAGACAGCCCTGTTAATCACTGGCTAGTAGAAATAATAGGAAAGTTTCATTGATACTACAACTTTTGCTTTTCTCTAGTTTCCATGCTATTTGTCTATGTAATAGAAGCCTATCTCATCAGATTTTGACTTTTCAGGTTACTACTCCAGTAGTTAAGCAAGGACCAGTGTCACAGTCGGCCCCGCAGCAGCCTGTAACTGCTGACAAGCAGCAAGGTCATGAGCCTGTCTCTCCTCGAAGTCTTCAGCGCTCAAGGTAAATTGAGACCATGTATTGAGATACATTATTTTCTTCACTATGGCATATTGTGTTGGTTGAATATTATGTTTGATAGAACTTAATCTTGGAATCCATGGATAGCCTAACATAGTCCATGTGTTATAAAATTTACGAAGATTTTTATATTACAGCTATATAATGGTCCCTAGTAGTGAAGCCTGGTTTATTTTGAAGAAAGTGATTCTTTTCCTTAATTTTACTTAGTGGAATAAGATGGGAATAAATATACTTGTACAAAAGGGGTGCACGTGATTTTACAACACTTTGTTAGAATTATATCACTTTTTAACCTTCTCATATCAGTTTTGATTTAAGTATATTGATGAAGCCAAAAACCTCACATTGGAAACTTGGGCCTATGTTTCCCAAGAGGTATATGTCAAGCTTTCCCAAAAGCTTCAACTCTAACCCTAAATGGATTGCTACTTAGATAGTTAAATAGTGCTATAATATGTTATCACTTTTCTTTGTGTTAACAATACAAAACTTTAAATGAAATTTGTTGAATGAGTGGTTTTCATTTAATTTAATTTCCTATTTTTATTTCATGCTGTGAGGTGGCAAAATAATTCAACTGTTGTTTTTATTGTTGTTTTCTAAACAAGCATTTCAGAACTTATACATCCAAATGAGAGTTGTTCCCTTCAAAATAATCACCTTGGGAAGCTGTCTACTTACTCCAGCAATGTTGCCATTGCTCAGAACATTTTTGGGAAATTCTTCTTTTAAATTGTCTTTAGAGGCTGCAGTATTATTTTAAATATCCTCAGTGATGAAAACTCTTCATCCTTTGGGAGATTTAGTTTTTGGAAATAACTGAAATTCATTCAAAGTCAAGTCTGGTGAAGCAGGTAGGAAATCAACTTGGGTGATTAAATTTTTTGGTTCTCACCACCATATCCCCAAACCCTCGCCCAAACCATTCACTTTTAAAAGAAGATGAACAATCTCAGAGTGTTAACTTTTTTGGTCTTGTTTTACCACTATGCTCATTGAGTGCTATCCAGTAAAGTGCCTGTGCTTTACTTCACTGTTTTATCCTCTGATTCAGCAGAACACTTTGTTCTGATGTTGAATAGTCGAAAGATAATGTTTTCCCCCTCCTTATGTAGATGAGCACCCTTTAGGGGTGCTCCCATCCCTAAGATCTTAGGACATGCCATTTGTCTATTTCTATTTTACATTGACCCTGACAGCAGTGTTCAGGGTTCTTCCCCCCCCCCCCCAAATGTATAATAGAAATATACTTTGGATCTTTGAATTCTAGTTGGTGTTAAAATAACATTTTTCTTAAAAATTAAACTCTGTCTCAAAAATTTTTTTGAATATCTTTTAAATTAAAGAAGGTATTAACAGGCAATTTCTAGGATACCCGGAAACTACTTTAAAACATTACTACACATTCAATTCTGTTTTCTCTTCTAGTAGCCAGAGAAGTCCATCACCTGGTCCAAATCATACTTCTAGTAGTAATGCATCAAATGCAACAGTTGTACCACAGAATTCATCTGCCCGACCTGCGTGTTCATTAACCCCTACGCTAGCAGCACACTTCAATGAAAATCTCATAAAACATGTTCAAGGATGGCCTGCAGATCATGCAGAGAAGCAGGTATGTTACTTGATTCACAGCCCATGCTTCACATTTGGGTGACTAGCTAAACGACTTCATTCAAGTTTTAGAAAATGTAATCTGGACCACTTTAAATTCAAACTGAATTTAAAATAACTAGTTTCTAATTTGATTATAAAATATTCGATATGTACTTATAAAGTGGTTTTTAACTTTCTGTGGTTTCACAAAGTATTCTTTTTTAGTAAAGGCAGGGTCTCATGTAACTCAGGTTAGCCTCAAGCAATTCTCTTCAGGGTCCCAAAGTGCTGGGGAAAATATTTTAATATTACCATAGTTACTATTACCAAGTACTCAACATTTAGCTCTGTGCTAAGGGCCTTATATTTTTATTTTTTCTTCTACTTAAAAAAAATTGCCAAGCAGTGCAGATAATGGATTTTCCCAGTTTTACCAATGGGCTTTTGCCACTCAGCCATTCTGATATTTTCAGAATCCATTAGAACTATTAACCTAATATGACTCACTCTCTAGACCAGCAGCTAGAAGTTAGGTGACTTTTTTTTCTTTAGGGGTGCTCCCATCCCTAAGATCTTAGGACATGCCATTTGTCTCTCTTTTTCATCAGATAATCACCTGGGTTATTCTGAAAGTATACAGAGAATACGTTATACATCTCATCATTCAGGAGGCTCTTCTATCAATATTGTCCCTCAGTTGCAAGAATAATAATCTCTTTGGCTGACCCACAATCTTTTATTATGCTGTTTTTTAAAGAAACCAAATGGGGAGATGTTAAAATACGTACTTGCGACCATTAGAGACATTTTCTTAAAATCATTTTTCTCCTAAGATGCACTAGCATTTTTGTGTCTTTAAAGGGAAGGAATTATTGGGGTGGCACCTGTGGCTCAAAGAGTAGGGCACTGGCCCCATATACCCGGGTTGGCAGGTTCAAGCCTGGCCCCAGCCAAAAAAAAAAAAAAAAAAGGAAGAATTATTATCTAATTTTGCTATAAAGTTCTACTTAGAAATTATCTATTTTATATGATCATTTTCTTTTTAATTATAGGCATCAAGATTACGTGAAGAAGCCCATAACATGGGAAGTGTTCACATGTCAGAAATTTGTACTGAATTAAAAAATTTAAGATCTTTAGTCCGAGTATGTGAGATTCAAGCAACTTTGCGAGAGCAAAGGTAAGTTTTTCACTGAAATAAATACTTCTTAGAATTACGTATCTTAACTCAAAGAACACAAAATTGTTTATGAAATTTTAAAGTTCTCTGATATATATTGTACTATGTTCTACAATTGCATTAGTATTTCTGGTGAGTGAAAAGTCATATAGATTTTATTTTAATGTATGATAAGTGTTTCATTAGGCTTCTTCCCTTACAACTTCCGTAACTTCCCTTATACCTCCATAAGTTCCAAAAATACATTTTTTAAAAAGTGAAATATTGACAGCAAGTGATTATAAATGTTCCTCTTGAATTGAGGTCAGCATTGTTTTACTTGAAGTTTCAAATTACTATTTATAATATCCTTGTCACTAATTGATTCCTTGGATGTTACAAAAATTTATATAGCAAGTTTAGTGATATGTATTACACCTGTTACCTTGGTTTTGTTTTGTTTTGTTTTGTTTTTTCCCTCCTAGATTCCTATCTCATATTTCTTTTCTTTTTCTTTCTTGATTTGGTTTTGCCCGGGGCTGGGTTTGAACCTGCCACCTCTGGCATATGGGGCTGGTGCCCTACCCTTTTGAGCCACAGGCCCCCTTGTCTCATTTTTCTTAATCTAGTATTTCATTCAAGTAGAATATCAAAGTCACAAAATAGCATAAGGTTTTTTAATGCATAATTAATGATAAGAGTGAGGACAAACTTTCAGTAGCTTCATGTCCTGTCTATATATAAAGGATTAGAGGTTGAAGTACTCACGTCTCGAAATCATAAATATTTGATAAATATCAAATGGAAATTCATAGTAAACTCAGGAAAGTGAATTTTTTGTTTTGTTTTTTTTTTTCTTAAATTACTGTAGTCTCCGAAAGTACTTTCTGAATATCAACTGTAATTCTTTTATTAGAGGATTTCTCTGAAATTTGTTCTAATGTATATAAAACTTCACTTTGGATTAATAGACACATCAGGGACTTTTAGGAAATTACGCTATTCATTATTGTATCTTAGGAAAACAGTATATACATAGTCAAATATCAAGCCAGTGCGTGATGATGTCAAAATCACAAATGTAGGCAGTAAATATCAGTAGTTCACAGAAGAGAGCGGGTCAAAGAGGAAGCGTTCTGTGACGTTAGTGGGAATCTAGTTACCTGTAGAATTTGTGTTCTGTTTTGTTTTGTTTTTAAATATATGGTATGTCATTTGAACTTCTGTTTGGTTCCATTTTTATGTTCCTTCATCTTCATTGAGAATTGCTCTTCTAAATGATTGCCACCTTACACTAGATATAATCTTACGGATTAGTGAGCCAGAAAACATGCAATATAGGTTTATCTTGTGATTAATTCAATCATTATATTCAAAATAATTATTGAGAAATTATAACCATTTTTGATTAGTCTTAATTAGTAATTACTCATTAAGATACTTTTTAAATTAAAGACTTGGTTTTTCTGTTAACATTTATATGTACACACAGATTCTAACGTCAGCTTTTATTTTTCAGGATACTATTTTTGAGACAACAAATTAAGGAACTCGAAAAGCTAAAAAATCAGAATTCCTTCATGGTGTGAAGATGTGAATAATTGCACATGGTTTTGAGTACAGAAACTGTAAATCTATTGCCCAATCTTAACATTTTTTGAGCTGCATTTAAGTAGACTTTGGACCGTTAAGCTGGGCAAAGAAAATGACAAGGGGACGGGGATCTGTGAGAGTCAATTCAGGGGAAAGATACAAGATTGATTTGTAAAACCCTTGAAATGTAGATTTCTTGTAGATGTATTCTTCACGTTGTAAATACGTTTTGTAGAGTGAAGCCATGGGAAGCCATGTGTAACAGAGCTTAGACATCCAAAACTAATCAATGCTGAGGTGGCTAAATACCTAGCCTTTTACATGTAAACCTGTCTGCAAAATTAGCTTTTTTAAAAAAATTTTTGGGGGGTTAATTTATCATTCAGAAATCTTGCATTTTCAAAAATTCAGTGCAAGCGCCAGGCGATCTGTGTCTAAGGATACAATTTTGAACCATATGGGCAGTGTATAAAATATCATGAAACAACTGTCTCCACACTTGCACCTGATCAAGAGCAGTGCTTCTCCATTTGTTTTGCAGAGAAATGTTTTTCATTTCCCGTGTGTTCCATTTCCCTCTGAAATCCTTGATCTGATTTTATCCATTTTTTAAAGCTCCTCTTTTTCTCCTTTCTTAAGGCACTGTTGCTATGGCACTTTTCTATAACCTTTTCATTCCTGTGTACAGTAGCTTAAAATTGCAGTGATTGAGCATAACCCACTTGTTTGTATAAATTATTGAAATCCATTTGCACCCTGTAAGAATGGACTTAAAAATACTGCTGGGCATGTGTGCTGAAAGTACATTGATTGCTCAAATATAAAGAAATGGCCCAATGAACATGGTTGTGGGAGGGGAAAGAGGAAACAAAGCTAGTCAGATGTGAATCGTATCTGTTGTAATAAACATGTTAAAACAAACAAAAATTGTTATTTTTCTTTTCCTTCGGTCAGTGCATATTAGAATTTGAACTACCTGGGGATTCTTTATCATAACTATTCTTGTTGAGTATTTATACTTAATTGAATTAATTCCTTAAGGGAGGTTTTGTTTAAAGCATAATAACAGGAAATTGTGTATAAGATATTTAATGAAATATGAAATTCAACAAGAATGATTAAGTCACTTCCCAAGTGGTTGTCATTTGTTAAGCCCTGGTTTACCTGTCTTGCTATTATGACATTTCATTTTGAAGGATGTTTGTGTTGTAGCTAACTGTTCAAGTCTGGTGCTGACTGCTGTTCTTAGCCATCACAAAACGCTAAATTTGTGTAATTGGAGCTTCCTGCTGTTACCTGGAAATGGTAGGAAAGCTCAGCTTTGTATATTGTTTCCTAAAGTATATTAAAATAAAAAAAGAAACTATTGCTACTATAAAATTACTTTGACTTTTTTTCTTTCCTAAATTATCAGTCGCATGTCTTAGCTTAACACTGCATCCAAATTGTAAGGGATTCTATATGGAAAAAAATCCGCTCCCCTCCAAAAATTCTTTTGACTAGAAAATTTTGTCATTAATTTGTAGGGTTCCCACTCCCCTTTGTTGAGGCAGATATGTGCTTCCAATACGGCCAACACCAAGGGCTTAATTTGATGTTAAAGACATCAACATCAATGTTACTACATTCTGGGATACTAACATTTCAAAATTGCACTAGTGCTTTAAGTATCTTTAAAGTATAGAAATTAATGCTCAGACCTCTCAAATTTTAAAAGTAAACTATAAGAAGTAGTTATTGTTGGTATTTTCTAAAATGCAAACAAAAATGCCTCAGTTTAAATGAGAGGAATTAAAATCTATACTGGAAGGGATTTTTTTTCTTGTAACTTAATTTTTTTTATATGTAAGAAAAGATAAATGTCCTACATTATATCACCATAGAATGTCCATTCCTGTGAGATTGTTAACATTTGCTGGACTTAATTAGTGCATATAAATGAAGCCCCAAAGAGATGTGATAAGCCAACACCCTTACTATATCTTTTCTAGAAAGAAGTGAGCTATTTCTGATGTAATAGGCAAGTATTTACTGATCAGATGGCAACTTGTGATTTAGACATTTAAATTTGATTTGCTAATAACTTACTGTGCTACACATTGCTCTATTCCTTTGTTTTTAAAAAATACTTTCATCGTTAAATCAGTCACATATATTCAGAAAATGCCTAACTTGAAATTTCTTAGTTTTTAAACACAGAAAATTAAAATTTGTGGGGAAATATTTTGTAATATTTGATCCACTTAATGATTCTATAGTAAAGTAATTTCAGTATTGCTGTTTAATCCAGACTGCTAGGGAATATCTGTTAAAAAAGGCATAATATCATGACAGTCTTTATCTGGTTGGCCTATTGCCGTACATGCCATTTGAACATGTGTTTTGGTTCAGACTATTTAAAGACAGAAATACCTGAATAGCCCCTAGGGAACTTCAGCGTTTTTTGTGCTCTGTTTTTCTGTTTCAAAAAGATAAGTCTACATTCCAAACATAAAAACTGGTACTATAACAAAATATAAAGGTGAGTCTGTTAGAAATTACTGTTAAAGAATCAGCTTTCTGGCTCGGCGCCTATAGCTCAACCGGCTAAGGCGCCAGCCACGTACACCTAAGGTGGCAGGTTCGAATCCCCAGCCCGGGCCCGCCAAACAACAATGACGGCTGCAACCAAAAAATGGCCGGGCGTTGTGGCGGGCGCCTGTGGTCCCAGCTACTTGGGAGGCGAGGCAAGAGACTCGCTTGAGCCCAGGAGTTGGAGGTTGCTGTGAGCTGTAATGCCATGGCACTCTGCCCAGGGGGACAGCTTGAGGCTCTGTCTCAAAAAAAAAAAAAAAAAAGAATCAGCTTTCTCACTTTCCCCCCATTTTCTTATTAATCTAACTTAATTTTAAAACTTGGACTAAAATCCCATATTTTAAGCACACTGAAAATTCACCTCTATGTTCCAACCCCTTTTGAAGACATTCTGCTTTTTTTTTTTTGAGACAATCTCAATGTGTCATCCTTGTAGAGTGCTGTCGCATCACAGCTCACAGCAACCTCCAGCTCTTGGGCTTAGGTGATTCTCTTGCCTCAGCCTCCCGAGTAGCTGGGACGACAGGCGCCCGCCAAAATGCCCGTCTATTTTTTGTTGCAGTTTGGCCGGGGTCGAGTTTGAACCCGCCACCTGCACCGCCCGACATGCTGCTTTTAATAGCCCAAGTGAGTGGTTTTATTTTTCTTACGAATCTTGCATGTTTCACAATTGTAAAATCTTGGGGAGGGAGTACTTAAAATTTGGCAAAAAATCATTATCCCATTTCAGAAACAGTTTTCTTGTTCTGTTGAAACCCAACCTTAGGCTCGGCACCTGTGGCTCAAGCGGCTAAGGCACCAGCCACATACACCTAAGGTGGTGGGTTCGAATCCAGCCCGGACCCGCCAAACAACAATAATGGCTGTAACCAAAAAATAGGCAGGCGTTGTGGTGGGCGCCTGTGGTCCCAGCTACTTGGGAGGCGGAGGCAGGAGACTCGCTTGAGCCCAGGAGTTGGAGGTTGCTGTGAGCAGTGAGGCCATGGCACTGTACCCAGGGTGACAGCTTGAGGCTCTGTCTCAAAAAAAAAAAAGAAACCCAACCTTAGCTTTAAGGGTTTCTGTTGAAACCTAACCTTAGCTTTAAGGGAGTTTCAAGGAGGGCATGGGCAGGGTCAGAAGTAATCCCCACTCTTCTTCCGACGGTAACTATGGTAGTTCAGGACTCAGCACCACTGTATTTATATATTGGATTTGAATATACAGATTTCTTTTCGATACCTGTAAATAATGGCTATATTCTTGTATTTGTATGGGAGTGTACAAAGTGGCACTGAAAAGTAATAAATATGTTTTGAATATATTGTGCAGTTATTTCAGAACAGTGTTTTGAAACAGTCCTAGAATATATAGTTTTCAGGTATCTAAAAATTACTGCTATATAATCTTAATAGCAGTTGGTGTGTTTCAATTCGAGCTTTAAGTTGGAATTCTTTATATCTTGTTTTAATTTGCTTGTGTTCTTTTCCTGACCCCTGAGCTTTGGGAGTACCCTAATGTGCAGTCTGCCTACGTGTTCTCATCCAGGCTCTTGGTTTTAAAAAATCCCGTTTGTGTGTCACGTAACAGTGAAAATACGTGCAGTCTTGCCTGATCTCGTGAGTTTTCAGTATGTCAGCTTAGATACTTAAGCAGGCATGACCTCTAAAAACAAACTCATGATTGCACTTCAGATGTTGGTCTCTGGTGTTCCATTAGTAATTAACACCATCTTTCCCCTATTTGTTCAAAACCTAAGTCAAGTCATCCTTTATTTTTTTCCTGACACCCCACGTTTAATCCATCAAGGCCCACAAGCTCTGCCTTCAAGAATGTATTTTGGATCTAAGAGCGGCTTGCTTACCTGAAGGTGTACTGCTCCAGTCCAAGCCACAGTCATCTTTGAACCAACCCCCTGGTAGCCGCCTGCTTCTGCTCCTGGACCCCCTCTACCCTCACCCACACACAGTCTGTTCTCCATACAGCCACCAGGGTGATCCATAGACACCAAGTTATTCTCTCCCTAATTTTCTAATGCTGCTACATATTTAAGCCCTTGGGTACCACTGCAATCATCATCTGCCAGTCTCGCTCACCACACTTACTCCCTGGGGGTTTTTTTTTTGTTGTTTGTTTGTTTGTTTTACATTTTTCTCTGGTTGGGAAAACTTGCTAGAAATCACAGCTAACTGCCCAATCATCAGTCTCCTTAAAGGTTACCTCAGAGAGGCCTTTCCTGATCAACCAGCCCGTCTGAAGGTGGCCTCCATCACTCTTCACTCCAGGTTTCTTCAAAAAAGCAGTGTCTGGTATGTAGTAAATACTCATATAAGAGCCTGTTGAGTGCATTGTGAAGCTAAGAACTTTGGACAGAAACAATTGAAGAAAATTTACAGAACTCACTGATTGCTTTTTCTTGGAGTTTTGATTTTGGAACAGGAGAGAAAAGGAGCAGAAAATTACCCTTTAATATGGGTTACCAAAACCTAACTCCAAACCTGTTTTTTCAGCAGCATGAACTGTTCTCTAAGCAAGAGTAATCAACCGAACCATTTAACAGCCTCCTGTGCACACATTTTAGGAGCGAATAAGCCAATGCAAAATGAACGAGATACTGCTTCCAGTGCTAATGTTGGGAAACGGACCAGTAAGAACTGGCTTCTGAAGGGCAGGATTGAGGGAGACAGGGAGCTTGGTGGGAGGTTATCCTGGTTTCCCAAGGTTGTACTGATAAGCCAGTCTTTCTGGTTCAGATGATGCCTTGACACCCAATCGCTTCTTTTTAGGATGGGAAACTAGACCAGGAATGGAGAGCCTTTTCATGTTGGGAGGCTGCATTGATTAGCTACAATGAAGAAACTTCAGTTACATAAAAATGTACGTCATTTTGGGTGGCCCCTATGGCTCAAAGGAATAGGATGCCGGCCCCATATGCCAGAGGTGGCGTGTTCAAACCCAGCCCCAGCCAAAAACTGCAAAAAAGAAAAGTACGTTATTTTGTAAAAATCTATGTACCTAATATAAAACAACTATTTATTTTAACGTTAACCTTTTAATGACTTTGTTGTGTCTGCTTTTTGTTAGGAAACATTTGATACTTGGTTGCAGCATGGGGGTCCACAGTTTCAGTTGGTCCTCCATGGTGTCAGTCATTTGTTACCTTAAGGGCATCTTGATTTGGGTTAGGTAGGGAATGTAGACTCGTAGCAATAAGTGGTTAAAAAGTATGAGAACTTTTTTTCCGGCAAGAGGGTGGGTGTTATGTATTTTTCCATTTGTCAACTGGATCTTTTTCAGCATCAAACAATGACTTTGAAGTGTCATCGCCTGAGAGCTTAATCAGTTCCATGTGTAGTTCTTTGGGCGCCTTGGTGATGTTAACTAGAGGAGAGTGAAATGCTAATTTGAATGTGATGCCACGATAATTCTCCAATTAATAGGTCTATAACAGTTGCATAGTCTTCAAATGATTAACATACCAGCCTGCTCATCAATGGCCTTTGCTAACTGGGGAAAGTATCTGAAATTTACTTCCGAAGAGTGTTTTGAAAAATACCTTCTTGAGGCTCGGCGCCTATAGCTCAACTGGCTAAGGCGCCAGCCACGTACACCTAAGGTGGAGGGTTCTAATCCCCAGCCTGGACCCGCCAAACAA